CTTGCTGCATCCTGTGGCAAAATTTAGGGAGATGGGATATGATGGGTCCCTGAGAAATTCAGAGAAGGAATAAATAAGAATTAAAGCTCAATGGCATCTGTATTTGGGGGGAAGGGACTAAAGAAGTACAGACGATAACTCACTATCATATATATATATAAATTTTTTTTTCCAGAGAGGAAGGGAGAGGGAGAGAGAGATGGAAACATCAATGCTGAGAGAGAATCATTGATTGGCTGCCTCCTGCATGCCCTCTACTGGGGATCGAGCCTGCAACCCAGGCATATGCTCTGACAGGGAATTGAACCACGATTTCCTGGTTCATAGGTTGATGCTCAACTACTGAGCCACACTGGCCAGGAGCATTACCCTCTTTATGAAGCCTGGCCTGCTCTGCTCTAGCCCAAGACTCCCAATGCAGCTGGGTGGAAAGAATGGACTTCAAAATAGTTTCTTTACTCCTAGCAGAGGGTCTGTCCATTCCAGAAAGCCAGGCCCTGAGGGGCTTCCAGACTCTCAGTGACATTTGCAATGGCACTGCCTCTGTTTGCTGGACTATTACACCACCACCATCACTGCTGCAGTTCCCGCTCTGCCTCCCCTCCCAGATGCTCAGACGGAGTCACCCTTGTTAGCTCCAGGCCCAGAGAACTCGGACACGTGCTCCCAGGGCTCCCCTGGCCTGTGCCCATCCACGAGGAGAAATGCGCTTGGAAAGCGGGAAGTATTGTAATACAATCTCCCTCATCCTCACAGCGGCCCCAGGTTACACATGAGAGGACGAAGCTCAGCTCATCAGTGTGACTCTCCACAGCACCCAGTGAGCCCGACAGAGGGGCGCTTGCTGGGTCTCCTGACTTCACAGGCCAGTGCTTTTCCATCAGAAAAAGCACCCGGATCACCATCATCATCACTTCTGAGAAGAGGGAGGGTGGCACACAGCATTGGTGATGCTGTCTTCTTAAAACTCTCTAAGCCAAGCAACTCCAACTCCTTATTTTTGTTACTGTGCTGGGAACTCATACTCCAAATGCCTGGCCTGCCCCCCACCCCCCATGTCGCCCTGCTTCCCAGCATCTTTCTCTGCTTCCTGGGGAGCAGCCCTGGCCGCCTGGCACACGCAGCAGCCCTGGCTGCCTGGCACATGCATCAGCCCTGGCCTCCTGCCCTCTCCTCTCTCCTCCCCGGGCTCCCCAAATGGGACACAACTGCATTTTACTCTCTCTTTCCTCTCCTGCCCACTTTCAGGGCTCCCCCCGTGCCTCCTTACTTTAAGCAAAAGCTTTTGTCTTGCACTGGGAATCATTTAATCCTTTCTTCCTTCCACATGCTACCTAACACGGCTGCTCTAATGTACAGCCGTGTTAGATAGAAAAAATATACACATAAGCAAAGAAGGGCCTGGCGTTTGACATGCTGAGGGGTGGGGCCTGTGGGGGATTCTGGTGCTGGATCTGGTGCTGCTCACCCCAACAGCGCTCTGTAGTTGCATGTGTGCTGTGTGAGGTCTTCACATGGGGCTGGACTTCCAGGAAGCCAGTCCAGCAGGGGGCAGGGGTGTGGGGAGCTGGGCGACAGCTGGGGAGGGAACCTCGATGCGGGAAAGAGGCCCCCTGGGTTTTTCAGGGGCTTTCAGCTCTGGGAGCAGAGGCCTGTGGAGGCGTCAGTGTGAACAGCCTCATCACTGCCTGCAGAGAGCGCTGCTCATAGGACCCCAACAGCTGGACAAGAACAGGACCGCGCAGCCCGGCGTTTCCTGGGCAGGCACCGCCCACGCCGCACAGGGCAATGCCCAGACCCTGTCCCTGCACCCCGAGGGACGTATCCTATCACATACGCTGACCAAGAAAGTTTAACTTTTATGTAACCTTTTCCTCCTTAAGATTTAAGAGTTAAATCTGTGAGGTGAGATTCTGCTCACTAACATACTTGTATCTGCTTTATATCTTATACTGGTTATTTTCATGGAGAGAGGTAGTTAAGCAATTAACAACGATCACCGGCAGGGCCGCCCTAGAGCAGCCCGTGTGGTTCAAGTGAGTCCCTTTTCCCTGGGCCTGCCATGTGCCTTTAAACCCCCAACCGCGTGGGTGTTGGTTCCTGTCCCAGAACCTTCTTCCTTCCTTGCTTATCTAGAAAAGCCCTACGGACTTTCAGGGGGCACCTTAAAATCTGTTTCTATGGGGCTTTCTTTCCTCCTCCTCCTCCTTCTCCTAGCCCTTCTTCCTCCTCCTCCTCTTCTTCCTCCTCCTCTTCTTCCTCCTCCTCCTCTTCCTCCTCCTCCTCCAAAGCCTGCCCCAGGTTGATCGAGTGGCCCCCGCTTTAGGGTGTAGACCATTTTGTACACATCTAATAGAATTTACCACTTTGCACAATGGATACTTTGCATTTTCCAAGGCAAATTTAGGTTCTTATTCCCATTTTAATCCCTAATTCCTGACGCAGCGCCTGAAACATCAAAAGCACATCTGGATGAAGGGGTCACTTGAGTGATATCAAGATGTCATCTACACTAATAAAAGAGAAACATGGTAATTGGCGTACGACCCTACCCTTTTCATTGGCTAATCAGCGAGATATGCAAATTACCTTTCAGCCAAGATGGCAACAGGCACCCAGGCAGCTTGAAACTAACATGAGGCTTGCTTGCCTCAGTGACGGAGGAAACCAACGTTCCCCGCCTGCGGCTGAAGGCCTCTGAGCTGGCAGTTTCAGAGACTCTGTAACAAATACCACCGGACTTCAGCCAGCAGATTCGCAACATTGTAAGCAAAGGCCAGAAACTTACTTTCAGCAGCGGAGGCCTAAGAGCTGGAGCCAAGCCTCAAGCTAAAGCTGGCCCAGAATAAAAAAAAAAAAAAGGAAAAAAGGAGCGGTTGGGAGCTTCAGTCATCCCCAGCCTGAAAACAGCCCTCAGCTCCTCACCCAGACTGGCCAGGCACCCCAGTGGGGACCCCCACCCTGATGGGTCTGTGACCAGCTGCAAACAGCCATCATCCCCTCACCCAGGCTAGCCAGGCACCCCAGTGGGGACCCCCAACCTGATCCAGGACACCCTTCAGGGCAAATCAGCCAGCCCCCACCCGTGCACCTGGCCTCTACGCTATATAGTAATAGGGTAATATGCTCCCAGCACCAGGATCAGCGGAGCCGTGAGGCCTCTCGGCACCGGGATCAGCGTGACAGGGGGCAGCGCCCAAACCCCCTGATAGTCCTGCGAATCTGTGTGTGACAGGGTGTGGCACCCCAATCCCCCTCCCCCCCACGGGCCCTGCTCTGTGTGTGACGGGGTAGAGCTATAACCTCCCCATCAGCCCTGCCCTGAGTGTGAGAGTGGCGGTGCCCCAACCCCCTGATCTGCCCTGCTCTGTGCGTGACAGGGCGTGGCGCCACAACCTCCCCATTGACCCTGCCTTGAGTGTGACAGGCGTGGTGCCCCAATCCCCCAATTGGGCCTACCCTGAGCATGACTGAGGGTGGCATCGCAACCTCCCGATCCGCCCTGCTCTGTGCATGACAGGGGGCGGCGCCCCAACTCCCCAATCGGTCCTGCTCTGAGCCTGACCAGGGGCTGCACCTAGGGATTGGGCCTGCCCTCTGCCACCCGGGAGCAGGCCTAAGCCAGCAGGGCGTTATCTCCCGAGGGGTCCCAGACTGTGAGAGGGCACAGGCCGGGCCGAGGGACCCCCCCACCCTCCCGAGTGCACAAATTTTGTGCACCGGGCCTCTAGTTCATTTATAAAATAAAACAGACTTCTTCTCTGAATGACTGCTATGATGGCTCTATTGGTAACAGCCAGAAACTGGAAGCAACCAAAATGTGTCTCAATAGGTGGGTACATCCACACCAAAAGTCCAGTCAGCATGGATAAGGAACAGACGATCGACTCACATAACAACCTGGTGATTCTCAAGGGCACGGCGCTGGGAGTGTCAACAGTTAACCTCAAAAGGTCACTGTGTGATTGCATCAAATAGCATCCTTGAAGCTATAAAACAATAGACATAGAGAACAGAGTAGGGAGAGTGGGGATCAGGGTGGTGGTGAGGTTATAAATAGTAGCACAAGGGAGATTTTTGTGGTGATTAAATAGTTTTGTATCTTGATTGCAGTGGGAGTTACACAAATCTACACATTTTGAGAGATGTGCCATTTGCTCTCCTGGTTTTGATGTTATTGTAATTAAGTAAGATGTCACACCTGGAAGAAACTGGGTGCATTTCCTTTGTGACTTCCTGTGGTTCTTTTATTTTATTTCACATAAAAAGCTATAAAATTCTTCTAAAAACCCATTCTCTGACATTCTTCTTCTCTCTAGTTGAGTGCCTGTACTTCATAACAACCTTTCTCTCTTCTTACTGATTCACAATTTCAAAACGCCTCCACATACATTAAATCACATCTTTTTAAAATGCAGCAAGTCCATGACACAGCTGCTCTTACCCCGTTTTACCAACTGAGGCTCGGCACTGGCTGGAGGGTAGAGAGTTGGTAGGTGGCAAAGTTGGTGCCCCCACTTCACCCAGTAAAATGTCTACTGACTTCTTTCTCATCTGCGGGGGTGTGGGGGTGGGGTTGGAAGACACGGTCTCTGACGGTGCATCAGTGATGACACCTCGGGCCACATGCACTTGCTGTGGCCTCGCTGTCCTGCGGGAACCAGCACCCGGCTCTGGCGGGGCAGGGACTGGCAGCCAGCAGCCGGGCTTCCCAGGGCACTCCTCTCCCAGGGGAGGCTGTGCTGTGTAGCACGTGGCACTTGGACGGAGGGTCAGACTCTACAAATCCCTGTTCTCCCAAGACAAGAGTCGTTGAGGTGAGTGAGAATGCAGTAGTTCTTGAACTTCCATGTTCCTAGGACACCCTGCCTATCGGGCTGGCCTCTGCTTGTATTTTCCTGTCCCCACCTCCTGGGCTTCATTCTGTGCCGCCCGCCCCGCCCCGCCCCTGACTAAAGACACTCTCCATGCCAAGGAAGTGGGCTGTGAAAATGTCTTACCAGATTAGTGAAGATGTAAGTGTAATAGGCTGACACCATCCCTAGCTCAGCTGCCTGCAAAGGGAAGAGAAGGAGATTAGAGAGGAAAGCATGTCCACCGGAAGTGAGGGAGCAGCGAGTGCTCCGCGTCTGCCGCTCGCCCGGCTCACTGGCCTTCGCTCCAGGCAGAGGAGAACATTGGGGTCTGTTCTTATTTTGCCCTTGACCTTGAAGGACGGGGCACAAAATCACTGGCCTCTAGAGCAGGTCTCCCCACCTCTGCCCCACTCCCACCCATGCAGTGACTCGCAAAGCAGCTGCTGTCCTCATGCACAATGTGGATAGGAGCAGGAATCCTGGGAAGCAAATGACTGTAAGGAGAACGAGGCAGGTAACAAGCCAGGCTGTGACGATAACCTCCACACCTGCTAGCACTGGCAGTGGCTGAGCCGGGGACTCGTCTCACTTGGGCGAACTTAGGAGGCAGCATAGCCTCCCCGCCTGACAGTGGAGGAACCGCAACACCAGAGGTCCTATAACTTGTCCAAGTTCACAGGCCTCATGGATGGAGACGCTGACAGGAAAGCCAGGTCCCTACACCCCCCAGAGGACTGCAATATGAATGGAAATCCTGCTGGAAATTCTGACACAATTTTCTCTGGAGCCAAGGTGTACCCAGAGAGGCTGTGGGTTGAAGGCAATTCCCCAATGAACCCCACGCGTGTCAGAATGCAAGGAGACAAGACGCCTGGCCTGTGGTCAGGCGGAAACAGGGGGCTTCTGCATTAGGAGAACCAAGCTGTCGGGACAGGACGCGCCTCAACCTGGACCACAGCACACAGTGTGGTGTCCCTGCAGGGCGAGGCGGCGGCTTCAGCACAGCCTCCCTTTGGTCTCATCTCTGCAGCAGCCATGCATGCTCCTCACCACCTCCCGGGGGCAGTGTGCCCGGCTGTGTGACACTCTCAAAACCAGTGAGCAGATCCAGTAAATAAGCCCGGCTCCCCAGGCCCGTCCCTCCCTCCGCAGATGGCAGGTTCCTAATGTGCCTTCCTCTCTGGCCATTGTCATGGCTAGGGAGGTGCCAGGGAGAAACACCCTGTGATGGTCCCACTTTCCTGTTTACCGCCCGAGTAACGCCCATAACCCTGGGGGCATTCTTGAAGGACACCCCCATCTCCCTGAAGAGCAGGCTGGGTAATGACATTGCCACCACTCCAGTGGAGATGCTGTGCAGAGCCTGAGTGACTGGGCAGGGGCATGTGGGGTCATGATGGAGCTCAAGGCTCCTAGTTGAGGCCCTCATTTCCCCAGCAAAGCTCCGTTTGCTCCTCCTCTTCTGAGAGGATGACATGTCAAGATGCCTGCCCCCACCCCACCCCACTGCCCAGGCTGGTGGCAGCCACCTGGAGGCAGGAGTGGGCTGGGGCAGGAGGCCAAGAGAGAGCACTGTTAGATGGTTAAACACATTTTGTGAAGTCTGCTGTCCTATAGATAAAAGACAAGAGAGGCTTGGTTTTTAGGACTGAGTTCTCTGTAAATATAAAAGTCACTGCCGGAACAGCCACTCAATAAGAGGAGGGCTTACTCTGCAAATCCTCCTGAAATTGAGAGACAACAGATGCGGCCACGCTTGGGGCCAGGCTCAGCAGCGCACAGGGTCCCAGAGTGCCTTGTGCTCTCTGCTCACGCTGCCTTGCCCACTGAGCCCGCCCCGCTCCTGAGGGCCCTCAAGGCTGGCTCTCATTCTGTGCAGGGGAGTGTGGGGCCCGGGGAGCATGGGGCTGACCCAGGCCTAGTGCCAGGCCTGCTTCCGGGGCCACTAGGAAGTCACCTGGGAACAAAGGGTGCAGGCTTTGAGGTGCCTCTCTGGTCATGCTGGTCAGTGTGGCTCCCAGGTCACAGGGCTGCGGCCAGTAAGTGGTCTCGGGAAACTGCCGCTGGCCCTTCAGAACCCTTTGCTACTAATGACCTTCATAGGCCAACTGTCCTTCAGAAGCACGAGCATTGCAACATTAAAAATCATCCTAAATGACAATAGGTGGCATTGGCAAGGTTGCCATAAGACACCCACACAGCTGGTAGGACTCTCAATTGTTATGGACTTTCTAAAAGGCAATCATATTGAAATCCTTCAAACGTGCATACCTTTCACTCAGTAATTCCACTTCTAGAAATCTATGCTAGGAGAGTATTCGTGAATGTGTGTAACATTCTTTATACAGCAAAAGGTTAAAACTAGCCTGCATCTCCAATAATAAAGCAATCTATACTAATAAAAGGGTAATATGCTAAGGAGACCAGGTCAACCAGCCATCTTCCGGACGTCCGACTTCCTTCCAGACAAAGCCATGGTGGTGGGGGCCAAGGCAGAGGCTGTTAGGGGCAATCAGGCCAGCAGGGGAGGGCCATTGGGGGTGAGATCAGGCTGGCAGGGGAGGGCAGTTAGGGGCAATGAGGCAGGCAGAGGCAGTTAGGGGCAATCAGGCCAGCAGGGGAGGGTCATTGGGGGCGAGATCAGGCTGGCAGGGGTGGGCAGTTAGGAGCAAGATCAGGCTGGCAGGGGAGGGGAGTTGAGGGCAATTGGGCCAGCAGGGGAGCAGTTAGGCGTCGATAAGGCTGGCAGGGGAGTGGTTAGGGGTGATCAGGCTTGCAGGCAGAAGTGGTTAGGAGCAATCAGGCAGGTAGGCAGGCGAGCAGTTGAAAGCCAGCAGTCCCAGATTCTGATAGGGATGTCTGACTGCTGGTTTAGGCCTAATCCCTATCGGGCCTAAACCTGCAGTCTGACATTCCCCGAGGGGTCCCAGATTGGAGAGGGTGCAGGCTGGGCTGAGGGACACCCCTCTAGTGCATGAATTTTCATGCACCAGGCCTCCGGTAGTTAAATAAAGTATAATACATTATGATAGCAAATGATGCAGCTATTCAAATATTCATAGAAAAATATGTCATGGCATGGAGAAACGCATGGCATATAATTAAGCAGAAAAAAGTAGGTTACAGGAGAGCATGTGTGGGGTGATAATTTTGGGGGAAATGAGTCCATAAAGACAGAAAGAAGAGACATCAGAATTTCACAGTGGTGGTCTCTGGGTAATGGAACTGTGAATACTTTCTATTTTCTTCCCTGTGCTTTTCTGTACTTTCCTGAATTTCAACAATAAACTAGACATACAATTTTAGAGAGAGACCAGATGCAGCTGCAGGAAACCGTGGGGCACTGCTGGGCCAGGTCTGTCCCAGAGGCTTCCCGGGGACTGCCAGACCCTGGCTGCCGCAAGGGGTGCATGCTGACCTGCCCTCTGCCAGGAGGCTCATACCCCCCCCTCTTCCTGAGGACTCCTCAGCCTGGATTTCTTATGTCCTAAAACTTAGAGGAGCTTTTTCCATGATGACTTCATTGATCCTCGTCCCAGACATAAGAGAAGAAAGAGGAGGAAGGGAGAAAACTTCTTTCTCTCTCTGTGTGTGTGTGTGTGTGTGTGTGTGTGTGTGTGAGAGAGAGAGA